AAACTGAACCTGTCCAAGTGCCTTTGTTAACAAATCCGCCAGCTGTTCATGCGTTCGGACATGCTTAGGAGCGAGAATACCGGCCTGAAAAGCATCACGTATGATGTGACAATCGTTTTCAATATGTTTGGTGCGCTCATGATAAACTGGATTCTTCAAAATCTTGATTGCAGATTGATTATCACAGAAGAAAGAAACTGGTTTGGAATGATTGATCTTGAATACTGGTAGTAACTCCATTAGCCATTGAATCTCTGAGTATGTGAAAGACATTTCTCTGTACTCGGATTCAGCAGAGGAACGAGAGACGGTCTTTTGTTTCTTCGTTTTCCAGGACACCGGAGAATCACCCAATAAAACAACATAACCGGTAAGGGAACGCCTGGTGAGAGGACAAGCTGAGTAATCTACGTCGCAAAAAGCATTGACATGAAGATCCTTTCTCGAGCTAAGAAGGATGCCTTGACCAAGAGTACCTTTAAGGTACTTAACGACGCGAATCGCAGCTGTCCAATGACGTTCACGAGGTTGAGCCAGAAACTGAGCAAGAAGGTGAACAGCATAGCTCAAATCTGGGCGAGTGATGGAGAGATATACCAAACGACCGACCAAGGGACGATAGCGAGAGGGATTATCAAAGAGTGGTCCTTTGTCTCGAGCAAGATGATGATTCTGCTCTAATGGCGTATCATATGGGCGACACCTTGTTAGTCCACACTCAGTAACGATATCCAATGCATATTTTCGTTGACAAACATAGATACCAACTTTGTTCCGTGATATTTCTAAACCAAGAAAATATTTCAGGGTTCCGAGATCCTTCATATGAAAACACGTACTCAAATAGGTCTTAAATTTGGAGATAAGATCAGAGTCATTGCCGCCAATGGTTAAATCATCAACATAAACGAGTACGTAGATGCAGGATGAGCCGCGGTGATAGGAAAAGAGGGAGTAGTCCTTCCTGTTCTGAACAAAACCGAACTTAAGCAATGATGCTGAAAGTTTAGCGAACCAACAACGAGGAGCTTGTTTCAGACCGTAAAGAGATTTGCACAGTTGACAAACCTTGTTTTTGTCAGACGCAGCATACCCGGAAGGTAGTTTCATGTAAACTTCTTCTTTCAAATCACCATGAAGGAAGGCATTATGCACATCCATTTTGTCCTCGCGTCGAGTTTTTCTCACGACCAGAACTATTACCAGATCCTTTACTTTTGCGAATGTCATCATGAAGTTGATTTTCTCGTGTGCCATCTCCTACCGAGAATCGCGACTTGATGCTCTCCCACATGACAGAGACATCATCCACGATCGAGATAGAAGAACGCAGTTTTTCATCGATACTCGCCATGATCCAGCCAATGATTAAGGAATTCACCATATCCCATCGTTCTGCATCATCAGTACCTTCGTCTGGTCGTCGCAAAGTTCCATTAATGAAACCAAGCTTTCGTTTTGAACGGAGGGCGTTGATCATGAGCTTTGACCATCGCTCATAATTTTCTCCATTCAAGAGCACAGAAGTCAGAACCTGACCACTATGTTCGCCATGTTGAATCGCATAAGGTGAGATCAACACTGGTTCTTTCTTGTCGTTGCTGCCGGACATGTTGAACGTAGGCTAAGACAATTGTTTTAGGTTTTAGGTTTTTTTTTTTTTTTTTTTCGAGCGCAAAGAATTAACACTTTTGGTTGGCTCTGATACCATGTTAAACTAGGTGATTTCCCGTGCTCATGCACGGACATAAATACTTATAAAATAAATATATTATAATAATTTATTGATATTTACTTTAAATTTTAAATTAATTTATAATTTGTAGGTATAATTTATATTAATAATACTATATTAATTTAATTATATATAATTTAGATATGTTATATTTTGTCAGTTTTATTGTTTTTACGGTTGATTTAGTTATCATTTGGATATATTAGATTTCATCTATTTCTTTGAATTCAATTATAATTTTTTTTATCCTAAATATATTAATTTTTTGATTAATTGTCTTATTTGCATTTATGCAGGCTGTTATCTTAGAAATATAAGTATATCTAGTAAGATTATGTATAACTTAAGTTTTTTGTGCTTAGAAAGAAAAAAAAATAAAAACTAAACTGTCTGATTCTAAATTATATACATAAGTAACTAATACATTTTTGGAAGCTTATGAACGCATATCAATATTTAAAATATTTAGATTGATTGCATGAAAAACTGAAATTTATTTTAAATAGTTTTAAAAATAAGGATTCTGATTTGTTTAAGTATTTTGATTATGGTTATATTAAGTTCCACAAACATTAAACAGAAAATTAAAAAGCAAAAGAGTTATTAAGAAAACATATAATTTTAACAATTAAAATATATTATATCGACTTCGTTAAATTATATAGTGTTATGATATTTTAAAATAATTTTAGTTATTTAATAAAAAATGTTTATTATTAAAATTTATTTTTAGTTTTGTTTCTAATATCTGTTAAAATATGCAATATAAATGTTATTGTTTTTGAGAAATTATATTATATAAGTAAAATAGAATTTATATGTTTTGTTGTATTGTGAGATATTATAGTCAAATAAATATACTAAAAAAAATAATAAAAAAATAAATATATATATATATATATATATATATTTTAAGAATACAAATTATAAAAAACAATTCAATTAAACATATATCAGTTTATGTTACTTAATTATTTTATGTAATCATCTAATAAAATAGATAGATATATACCAAAAAAAAAATAACTACTTTGAATATATAGATATATATATATATATATATATATATATATATATTATTGTTTAAAATTATTTTTTTAGAGAAAAAATATTTCTTTTTCTAATATCAAGATTAGTTGTGTGAAATTTTTTTATATAATCACATTATATACAAATATTGTTTTTCATATAAGAAGATATATATATGATGTATTTTATTACTTCAAAAGTATATTTTATGTTATTTAAAATATATTTAAATTAAATATTACTATATTGTGAACTTTCCTTTTTTATGAAACCATATTTCTATATACTTATATTTTCGTTTTAAATAGTTTTGTAAACTTTATAAATGTTTCCTTTTATTTTATTTTATTATTTGGAAAATTTTGAAAAGGAAATAATAATATTTAAATATATTTTTTAATTCATTAGGGGTATCATAGTAATCAACCATCGTGAAAGTTAACATGAGCGCGACACATAAGAAAGTGACTTCTCAAATAATATTATAGAGATTAGGTATTGCTCTAAATCGTTATCTTATTGATCTCAATAGAATTGGTTACAATATATAGGTAGCAACTTGCTTGACCTCCAAGTAATAGATAAACATTAAATAAGAATATTTTCATATTCATATATATCCTTCCTATTACAATCACTTTTTTTGAACCACAAATTTCATTAAAAGGCCTTAGCCAGCGTTAGGTAGAGCATTGATGTCTAACTCAACAGACAAGACCTGTTTAACTAAGCCATCAGCCACAAAGTTCTTCTCACGAGGGATCCATACAAAAGAGATGAGTTCAAAAGAGCTAGCTAAGGAGGTAATATCTGCTGCAATTCCATATAATTCTGCATTTGGTAATCCAAATTTCACAATCTTAACCAATGTCTCCGAATCCCTCGCATCTGATCTGTGGAAAGTTGAGCTCCCTGCATTTCAAAAGGGCTTCACGCACAGCTAGAGCCTCCGGAGAAAGTTTGTGGTAATCCAAATTTCACAATATCTCAATCACTTGGAGAAGGAGTTTTATGGACAACCGGAGAAAGTTTAGGCGGCAGCCCTCATCCTGATCTCGGACCACGAATTGAAACATATATTTTTGGGTTGAAGTTGGGCTTGAAGAATTGAATTCATCGTGAATATTTGACCTGAAAAGAATCCATCAGAGAGTACCAAGAGTTTAAAAAAGAGTTTCATCTCCTTGAATCCCAAGAGCAATATTAACATGACGCTTAAAGTCACCTTGACAGATTGACTTGTAATCTGTGGCAACCACCTTAGGATCAAAACGCAAATACTAAAAGAAATTGGTTTCAAAAGCTCCCGAGAAAAAGTTATCACAAGAATGGAATTGCAAGAGAAACAAATTAAGGATATTTCTAAAGAAGAAAGCATACAGTTTCATTTGCACTAACCATAACTTTAAAAGCTTATACAGACTATCTCCCTAACCATAAATATAAACACAAGTATTAGCTAACAGAATGTAATATGAAAATATCTTCATTAAAGTTAAAATGTGTACAAGGAGGAGTATACTCATACATTAGACTGCTCTACACTAACATTTACACTATACACGTATGTAACCGTATACTATATACAAGTAGTATGATATATGTAATAACAAGAATTCATAAAGAGATGTTCCAAATTCACATGCTTGTTAATCTTAAGCACATGACAAAGTAAAATCACAAAACCACATAATTCATTTCGGGAAGAAATAAAGATTAACTCCTTTAAATTTCTTGGGTGACAGCTTATCTGCATTGTCGACTAATCATGAAACTAAATGCCTCCACCTCAACTTCATACATAAGATTTTTCCAAAGAGAAAGTAACAAAATTTCAACTTAAAATTCGCGTTTTTTTCAAACTTCATTGCTCACAATGGCCCAATGAACTCGGAGTAACCAGCTCATAACAATCAATGGTAACTCAATCGAAAGAAGAAAACCCTAGAAGAGAAGTGAATTAAAAAAAATCACAAGTGCTCATCGAAACGAAGTCAATCATATTCAATAAACAGAGAAACGCACATGAACGGAACCCTAGAACCCGGATCAAACTTCAGAATAAAACCTCGTATCAAAATACAGATTTCCCGCAATTGCAAAAGAAAATTCTGCCAATTGGTAACTGGTAAGGCATGCACTGTGGGATAGATGGATTGATAGATCAAAACGTGCTCTTCTGAGCTGCGAAATAAATAAGAAAGACCTACGTACTAAATCATGCTTCCTCTTTATCACGAAAAGAATATCGATCTTAAGTTTTCTTTTGTTACAACAAAGTGAAGATGTGATTGTTTATTTTTTATTTTACAGCAAAATAACACGATGTTCAAAGCATATGGTTGTATATGATCCTCAAACGAAAATGTATTTATTTTGATTTTTCTGACATACATAATGTAGAACTCACCTTTAGACAAAACATTCTTATTACAATTTGTGTTTCAAATATCTTATTATTGTCATGACGAATTGTAGAACGATACCGAGACTATAGTTTGAGTGACCAAAGAGGCAAAGATCAATGTAGCACTAATCAAGCCCTACACGATCCATTTGGTAGAGAGATTTATGAAGCCTAGGAGTGATGAAGACTTCAAGAGGAGTGGCTTTCAGATTGACCAACCCACTATCTCCGGTCATATCCACATCTTGGCTTGATGGTCTTACCACATCGAAGCTTTGCAACAACCTTGCCAGGATATATTGCACCATCCTCATGCCAAGGGGGATTGCAGGGCATGCCTTTCGTCCCAACCCGAACGGAAACAACTTGTAACTATGCCCAGCAACATTTATTTCGCTATTTATTGTCAAGAACCTCTCTGGTTCAAAGCGTTCGGAGTTGGACCAAAGACTCGGATCCCTATGAATTTTCCACGCATTTACGAGCAGTTGTGTCCCTAATTTATGGACATAAAATAAGCATGTTTTATTAAAAAAAGGCCAAGCGTTTAAATAAAGAAACCATAACATTGAACAAATCTAATTAATAACAGTATTTTTTTATCACGAAGTAGTACGCCAAACTAAAAGAGAAATATCTATAGTCCTAAAATTCTTTTATCATAAAATAGCACACAACAGTCAAAGACTCAAAATGATCAAAATAGATTTTAGTAAAAAGGTAAATGACAATTATACTCCTACTTTGGAGATATATTAAAATGAATATGTTTCTAAATCTGAGTCTACAAAGACTTACCGAAATAAGTATAATATATTTTAAAAAACTTACCAAGATATTGATAAATATGTATAATACCTTCATAAAATTTGGGAAACTTTCTTCACTGTGTATTTAGGAACACCAATTTATTATTGAATTTGAATATTATATATGATTTAAAAATATGTATAACATCTTTCTAAAGTTTTCAGAAGATATTGACAATATTTTTTTTTTCGGGAAGACCTTTATAAATTTGATATCTAAGTTTTTTTAAAGATGATATACATATTTAAAAGAATCTTCGTAAATTGCTGAGATGTTATATATTGAGTAATATTCTCCTAAATGCGCATATAAATCAAATTCAGTAAGATGACATAAACATATAGGAACAAATTTCTAAATATAAATACAAGTTAAATTTAAGAAGTCTATTTAAATATTTATGGCACCATTCCTGAAGTCAATTTTCTTTCAAGATTTCTAAAAGATATTGTACTCGTTTATGAAGGTCTATCTAAGTTTCTTTTTTAATCCTTTTTCAATCGTTTTGGTTTTTTTCTTTTGTTTTACAAACAATGATTTTGGAAATGGTTTTGAATAAAAAAAAAGATGAAAAGAAAACGAAAAATATTAGGATCTGTTTATCATAAAAAGATTTGTTGTTCCTGACACTGCTTTCAAATATTTAAATAATTATTTGGTTTATATATTCAATAAATAATTAATTAAAATTATAAAATGAAGATATAATTATCGTTTAATTTTTTAGTGAAAAATATTTTGGTCACTTTGACTTTTAGATGCTATTTTAGGAACAATGTTTTTTTAAAAAATGGTCATTTAAGAGATTTTCGCTATATAATCACATAAATGTCGTTTATTAACTTAAACTCTATCCCTTAAATAAAATAAAAAACTTATAATTTAAGCACATCCAGATATAATATATATTACTTATTTAATTTTTTTAAGATATTATATATTAAATTACTAAAAATTGGTTATTTATTTAGTGAAAAACTTGGTTTAGTGATATATAAGAGTTTTTTCTAAGGTATTTTATACGTATTGTGGATGCTCATAGTAATCTAGTTTTGAGATGAGTATCTCATAATCTAAGAAGCAAACCTTTATCAGGTCACATTTTTATCTTTTAAATATGAGGTTCCTTACCATATATGTTTAATCAATACTATTAAAAGAGATGGGGTTCTAAAAAATCTATCTATGAAAATTGTTTGGACCTTTTCATTTAATTCCTTATTTTTTGGTTATATTTTAAATTTCTCTAACTATATAACATTCAAAATATATAATTAATCCTCATAAATTTTAATTCATATTCCACTAATTTACCTTTTAATTATTGGACCTGTTAGTTATTAAATTAAACCTATTATTTACAGCCATCGTCTTATACTAATATAACATGTAATAATACTTTCTGTAACCCTGAGTTCAGACTGGTTTATATTATATAAATTAGTCAAACAATAATTAATTCATGTACAAACGGTTATTCACATATTGGACTCCGCTATATGTATATAATAATATACAACCAATCATTTTTAACACACACCTAATATTAGTCTCATACAATTATTTAATTAACACAATCGATCATTGTTGTTCATTGTTAGATAATCTGGAGTAAAATCATGGGAAATAAATATTTATGAAAACAAACATAATGACATCAAAATATTATATTATTAAACCTATGTATCAACATTCAAAATAGATCATTCAAATATTATGCATTAGAATCCAAAACTCTATGTCCTACACCATAAACCATTTACATATCTGAATATTATTTTTTGCATATAATATTATTCAATGATCAAAAATTAATATATATATATATATATATAAAATTTTGAAAAACAATGTTTATTTTTTATTTATACATTAAAATTGAAATGACAATTATGAGTGTTTAAAAGTATTTTAAAATTATCACAAAATTAAATTTTCAATATAAAATAAAGTGTAAAATTATGATAGGTTATTAATAATAAAAATAAACTAATAGTATCATGTCAATAATTTTTTTATATTATTATTTTTTTGAATGTATTTGATAAAAATATCATCAAAATCTAAGGAATCAAAAGTTTATACAATATTAAAAATTATATGAATAATGCAACTAAAAAATAAAAATATTATCAGATATTTTTTTATTTTTATTGGATCAGCTATATTACATCATGGGTTAATAACAATTTCTTTTTGCGTTTTTACTGGATTTTATATTTTTTAATTAATGATTTTTGCATTAAATCCAAACCGGATTATATACAAGGTATTAAATCTACGGATTCAACCACGGGACTGAATCAAATATGAAAACTTTTCTTAAAATCAAACATTATTATAGACCAATTTTTGAATTAGTTTTATTAATAAATCGAAAAAACAAATCCATATTTTCTAAGCGCGGGTCAAAATCTAGTTAATAGTTTAAAATAGAGCATTCAGCAAAAAAAAACAAGAACTTTAAACGAATTGCCAAAAGAAACATGAACTTTTGGGCTGACCAAAAAAAGCACAAAAATTTCAATCAATAATTTTTTCGTTGACTTTCCAATTTACATGATTTGAAAATAAAAACAAGTAGACCATCAGATTCAAACTCGGATTGTTTGGGTTCAACGGACCGGTATTTTACCACTGGGCTAACGATGCTTTCAAAGGACTAAACAACACATTTAATTTTATATTGTACTGACTGAATATAAAAAATTCTCTAAAAACTTTAACAAATCTTTAAATTTCCAAAAAAATTAAAGAAATAATTTTTTTTTATAAAATTAATTTTGAAATTGAAAATATTTTTTTTTCTTTAAGAAATCAAAAGTCTTCCAAAAATTTCAGTTTTATTAAAAAAAATTGTTAAAATTGAAGTTAATTATACACCAAAAAGATATCCATATATTAAAATTAAATAAAAATGCTGAAAATAAATATTATACCCATTATGAGTGCGATTTTAATTTTAGCTGATAATTGTAACTGAATTTTTTTGCATTTTATTTGTATTTTAACTTTTTGTAATTTACAAAATTGAAAATTTTGGTAGATTTTTGATTTTTTAGAAAAAATAAAATTTTATTTTAATTTTATTTTAAACTTAATTTTATATAAAAAAAAATTATTTTCCAATTTTTTGGATTTTAAAGATCTTTTTAAGTTTTTGGAGATTTTTTTTTATATCGAATCAGTACTAAATAAGATTAAATGTGTTTGTAATTCTAGTGAAAGTGTCATTAGTCTAGTGATAAAATACCTTGTAAATTGTCCCAAACAACCCGAGTTTGAATCCGGGGGTTTACCTGTTTTGCTTAATAATTTAAAAAAGTGAGCAAAAGTACAGGTTTTTTCTGGTAATTGTGTTTTCTTGGTCGAATTCTCGTTTAAAATACCTAAATGATCACTTTTTATTCAATTTGGATCCCACATCATTAAATTTCAATTTATGGAGGATTACCTGCAGGAATATGAAACTTTCCATTAGCAATGTCCAAAGCTTCCGTCACATCTCTATAAGCGACGAGAGTGATCGGTGGGTATAAACGGAGTGTCTCCTTGATAACAGCTTGAAGGTACACCAAATCTTTGAGGTCGGTTTCTTCCACAACTCTATCCTTTCCAGTTATTCGGTTGAGCTCCTCTTGAGCTTTCCTCAACACGTGTGGGTTGTTCACTAGTAGCGAAACGGCCCAAACAAGAACCACAATGGCCGTTTCACTCCCTGACAAAACCAAGTTCTAGGTTCACGCGAACAACAGATATTAGTGCATCCATCTAGGCCGATTTTTAGAATACTACTTTTTTATACTACATATATTTATGGGAGAAAGATCTATGAGGTCTTACAAGGCAAATGGCCTTGGTTGTTGTATGAGCATCTGCAAGACCCGGGGTCTTTTGTTCAAATATCTCGATGAGTAGATCCAAGAAAGTTTTTTCAAATCCCTCACCAGAATCCTTCCTCTTCTTCTTGTGCTCATCAACCCAGGCTTCAAGAACTTCATCGATCTCACTAGCCGTTTTCTTCATGTCCCTTTTAATCCTCCACTCCAACCAACCAAGAGGGGGTACCAAATCGGATAACAAATAGGTCCCCATGTAATCAATAAAGTCTCGTATCAGCTTTTTACATCTCATCGCCTCTTCAGTTTCGCAGTTAAGATTAGCTCCGAAGTATCTCTTCCCAGCTATCATCATCAACGAGATGTTTGTGGTTAGATCATGTAACTCTTGCTTCATATCCACCAAGACTCCTTTTTGAGAGTCACCCTTCTGCTCCCATTTACTGTACAGCTCTCTGAACGCCACGTCAACCTCTCTAGCTCTAGTATGCTTGAGCATATCCATGACTGAGGTAGACAGAATCTCGGATACGGCTATCTTACGCATCTCTCTCCAGTAAGAACTTTCATTGCTAAATGTCAAGAACGAGCCGTTGTAGCCAAGAAGCTTAGACGCAACGGGTACTGGCCGGTTCAAGACCTTGTCGTGGACAGTGTAGATCTCTTTGGCGATATCTTGGCTGTTTACGATAAGGGTATTAACAGAGCCCATTTTCGTCATGAACACTGGTCCGTACACGTCAGAAAGGGCGCTGAAGGTGACGTGAGTCGGCTGTCCGTTGTCAAAGGCCCTTAAATGGCCTATAATTGGCCATGCTCCGGCGGCCATAGGTGGCAAACGTTTTTTGTTCTTGGGACGAATCAAAGACTTGATTAGTAAATAGGAAAAAGAAAAGAGAAAGACAAAAATGAGGAGAAGAAGCTTAACTAGATCCATATTTGGCTGTATTTGATCAAGCTTGTGTTGAGCTTAGGTTGGGTGCGTATATATAGAGGTCGCATAATTTGTGATATGATATTCATAGGACCCAAGCAGGATTTATCAGACAGTACTTTAAGTATAACATAATTTATTTTTTAAAAGTCACAAAATAAAATTTTAGATAAATAAAGAGAACATCACTTATTCCGTAACAAATTTATATTATTAAAACTGAAGTTAATTTTGGTATTGGTTGGAATAATAATAAAAATTAGAATTGTTTGGAAATATTAATAGCAGTATTTTTATTATTTTTTTGTATTTACACATTTAGTCATTGTATTTATAATAAATTAAAATTTTCATTTTTTTCTAATTACAGATTCTAACACTGCATCTAACATTAATTGAAATTAATTAATTACTATTTCAAATCTTATCTAACAATATTCATATATTAACCATTATTAATTATGTAAGAATATTAATTAAATCACATATATTAATGAATATAACCTTTTTAAGAAGGTCAATTTAGTTAATATTCATACACATTTAATAATGGTTAATGTAATTTAAAGTTTTAAGTATGTTGTTCTATTTTAAAATAAATTAACAAAAAAGACAACATGTTAATGTATGAATAGACAGTCACATCAAATTGCATTAAGTATAAATTTTTAATATAATATATCTCAAAAAAATAGTATTATCAAACATCTATAGAAAATAATATTATATTCTATAATGTAAATTATAAAACATCAAAATACATGATTTTTTTATAAAATTAGCGGTTTATAAATTTACGTTGAACACAAATTCAATCAAATATCCGTGATTAGACACGGATCAAGTTCTAGTTATTTTAAAAAAAAAACATTAAACAAACTAAAACAGAATGGGTACTATTCTGGTTTGGTAATTATCCGCCTCTGATATTGTATACTCCCTCTATTTAAATATAAGTGATGTCTTAGATTTCTTTTTGTTTTAGTTTAAGTGGTATTTTCAAGTTTTTATGGAAATAGTTAATGTTATTGATGTTTATAATAATATATGATTTTTATTGGTTAAATTAGATGTAGTTACTGTTGTTTTATACAAACGAGATAGATTAAATAAAAATTAATAATATTTTAATCGGTGTGTAAAAACATTAAAAGTTTGTTATTTTGAAACATATAAAGTATTAATCAGTTTAGTTCGTTAGTCTTTGATTAGTGTTTAATTCTCCATTAAATGCATTATCATTTTGTTAATAATTAAAATATTTTTCCTCCGTTTCAATAAGATACAGTATATGTTTTCGAATTTATATTTTCTATGCAGAACTTGTAAATTTCAGAAGGTTAAATGGATAACTGATTTATTTATGATAGTGATATAATGTGTTTTCTTAATATGTGTATAACATTAGAAAATTAATCTTTAAGAAACGTAGTTAGTATTTGAGTTCTGACTTTGATTTAGCTCAGTTTTTTTCCATGAGATATATCCATTATGGATCATTGACTATAAACTAACCAGTTTTTTTGGTTTATAAATATTTTGACGAAAGTTCAACGTTTTGTTTTTGCCAAAATTTGAATTTCATATTAAATATGACAAATGTTTGTAAATTTTGCAAAAGATTTAAAACAAAATGGAGTTCACCTTGGCAAAAAGAATAAAAACAAGGTGAATTCCATTGAAGAAGAAGAATTTAAATTTTCTAGAGGTTCCTTAGCCATGATAGCATAAGGGTCTTGAAGTTCTTCTTGTGCTGTTTCCCCAAGATAGTGTCTCTGATGTTCCGATCAATAAGTTTGCAAATCGTTGGGGGAGTTGATGAGATACCATCATGAAGTCGTTTGTTTCTTTCAGCCTATATGGAATAGATTGTCGCATGGGAGAGGAGTCTCTTTAGAACCAGAGGAGCATGATAATCTATTAGAGATAACCATTCAACAAAAGCTGTCCATGTGTGAAATCCCTAATGGTTATAACCAAGTCTTCGAAGAATCAATGTCCATATCCCGAATGGTTTAACGGTTTCTTGAGTAATACGACAATGTTTCTCATTCTTCAATTTACGGACTAAGGGCTTATATTGTACACTTTGGGTTAGATTTTAGATCACTCTACACCACCGAACTCTGTTTTTAGTCTTTGTCAAAAAAAGCTAGAAGCAAAGAGTGCCACAAGTTGTCAACACGAAAAACTTTTTTCCATTCTGAAATAAATTTTACATTCTATTCACAAAAAAAGAAAAATTTAAAAAATAAAGATTTTAGATGAATTTTTTACAACTTCAACTTTTTTTACAATTTCTTTAGATTTAATTATGTTGTGTTTAGTAAGTTTATGTTGTAAACAGTTTTCACTGACAGACAATTTTTTTACAGTATCTAGTAAGATATATTTGTTACTAAATTATTAGAAATTTTAATAATATGATTTTTTTATATAAAATAGGGTATGTTAATTATTTCCTCCAACTATGGTAGTCACTAAACTCAACCCTTAAAGTTAAGTGAACAAATGCATCGGTATGTTGTCAGTAGAAGAATGAGATACATTTTGTTGTATACAATGATGTGGCTTTGGAATACAGTCAATTGAAAGGGGTCAATAATTATTTTTAATAGGAATTAACCGTGTGCTTTTGTTAGATTGATATATCATTAGGGTTGGTAGGACAAGTTAAACGGAGTTGGTATTACAATCTTTATAGAGCAATCATGGATCAACTAAACTTTGTCCGAGTCAGCTGACTCATCCCACGTACAGTAGAGAAACACATATAGGTTTTGACTAGGAGTCACATTTAGAGTATTTTATCAATGAGAAAAAACTGATTAACTTCTATTTACTTTGAACATGTACCAATCAGGTAAAACTATTGAGTTATTTTCACGCTAAGGCAGTTTCAAGTTTTTTATTACACTTAAAGACAATTATTGCTCTTTAATAGGAATTAGTTTGTGAAATTAGTTTCAAGTTTTTTATTACACTTGAAGACAATTATTGTTCTTTAGACACTTTTCTTTAACTAAGCGTAACTATAACAATCTTCTAGTTTTCTTCTACTTGTCTTTTTCTTTCTTTTTAATTAATTCATTTTTAGTTGTTTGATCTCTAACTTTTATTTTTCTCCATTCACCGTACGTCATCTTCTTCTTTAACAAAAAAATAAACTTGTATTCTCCTCTGACCTGCAACATCGGAACAATTTATTTTCATTACAGTCTTCATTTCCTCTGATTAAAACTAAATGATGCTTCTTTTCTGAGTCCAAGAGTAAATCTCCATCAAGCTTTGATGAGTTTGATCCGGCGCGTTCATGCCCCATCTGGAAGCTATACCGAAGATCAAGTCGTCGGTGTCTTAACTCTCTTGTCTGTGTTTAAAAACGCGGCGGTGATGGTCAGAAATCAAGGAATAAACACTTAGAGGACATGAACAAAAAAATGTTGGTTATAATTAGTTAAAACTCAGTTTAAAAAAAAAATTGTTTCTTTAATTGTTTTTGGGTTAATCTAAACGAGATTTGTAAGTTTTTTTTGTTAAAACCGCAAAGAAAATGATGAATAAGTGAAAAGAAACTGATGGCGTCTTGAATTGAAAGTTACAGAGTTTTCTGTAACCTAAAAGGAAGAAGACAAGTTATTTACAAAATTACCACTCATTAAAGATATTTTGCATAGTGGTTGTGGATGTTAACGATGTGTACACTGTTGTAGCATATCATTTTGTACACCATTGTAACGATATTCGTGTACACCGTTGTAAATGGTATTTGTGTACATCAAAGTAATGATACTTAACCCATCTTCCCGTGTATACTGTACATATGTACGGTAAATATGATAGTGTACATATATAAAATAACCAGAAATGAATCAAGCTAATACCTACCATGAAAAAACACACACAACACATACACTAATTAGAAACTCTTAAACAAGGTGTGAAAGATGATATATGGGTTCAGTTAGATTACAAGGATGCCCCAACACTGCATCCTAAGTAAAATAAATATATTTACATATAACTGATAAACATATTACTGGTATGGTTCGATAATCATTAATGTTTTTAGTTAGATCCTTGAAAATCTTGTTTTCTACTGTCTGCTGAAGCACCGTCGGTCAAAGTGCCAAACACAGAAAACACTATATTCACGCTCCAGACGTTATTGTCAGTATAAAAAGACAAATATCACCGTAAAACACTTGCTACAATTTTAAAATAAATAATCCATAAACTATAGTTTGATATAGGTGATTATGTCAACATAAATTTGGTTTTGGAAAGCTTGGATTCTGTCATCAAATGTAAGGATTTGGTTGTAGTTGTTGCATTAATTTTCAAGCAACTGCGGGCTAGGTACGTACAGTTAGATATAAAATAATCCTTACACGATATAATCAAACGAAAGTATCAGGGTGATACGCAAAGACTTCTCCAAAATTAAGAATTTGATAGGGTCGCTGTATAGGGAATTAAGATCATTTATAAAGGCAAGTTAACATTTTATAATTTTTCAGTCTGAATCAGAAATTATATATCAATGACACGATACGAATATATATAACCCTAACAGTGAGAAATTTCCAAGTTTAAGTTGGAGTGAGAATTTTTTTAGGGTTTTTCCATAGGATCTTCCCTTCAAATTACCGATGAGATAAGCCAATATTTTGCTTAAAAATGGCAGCACGATCTAGTTCTGGGGCACTGCACTGTGAAAGCCAAGGATTAACATAGTTTGTGGTTGGTATTTAACCGTAGCCAGAATATGGACGTCGGAAAGGAACAATAGACTACACAACACCATCTGCTCCACTCCGCAAGCTATTTTTTAGGTTATTGATCGACCAATACGAAATGCAATTCTAACGAAGGGGAGACACAATGCAAACTTGGTTCACTTATGAATAGTCCAACTCTTACTCCTTTGCATGTTAGGCTCTTCCTTGCTAAAGTTTTTTTTTTCATTTTAGGATTGCAGACATAAACTAAAAAGACAATTAATTTTTA